AAAAAAAAAAAAAATGATAACCCTGTAGAATTCTTCCTTTTTTAAGCTTATATTAATTGGAAGGGGAGATTTCATTGTTACATTTCCATGATTACAATGTATTGTTATCAGTCTCCTCAATTCCCACCACCCTTCCCATAGAACTTCTAGAATTCAATTAGAGTTGTTTCATTTTTTGAATGCTTACTATATACATTCATTATTTTAGTTATAACTCTTCTGACACTGATGGAAGTCTTTTGTTCATTTTTCTTTAATAGTAAAATCGAAGAGCTGGAAAATGAAATTCAAGAAGCAAAAGTTGCTTTTGAAATAAAATGTCTTACCTTGGGCAGGTAATTGTTTATTTTGTGGGGTTTTTTTTGTGGGGAGTGGGGTTTTTTGTTTGTTTCTTTGTTTTGTCAGTCCTGGGGCTTAAACTCAGGGCCTGGGTACTATCCCTAAGCCTCTCTGTGTGCAAGGCTAGCACTATACCACTTGAGCCACAGTACCACTTCTGGCTTTTTCTGTGTATGGGGTGAGGAATTGAACCCAGGGCTTTATGCATGCTAGGCAAGCACTCTACCTCTAAGCAACAATCCCAGCTGCAGAGTGACTCTTATCTCTAATTGAGGCTAGACAATTGAAGAGATTATTGTCTCTAGAGATTATTGTTCATTAGCTAAAAGCTGGAAGAGGTGTGGCTCAATGGTGCCAGCCTTGAGCAAAAAAGCTAACGAGGAGGCAAGTCCTGAGTTCAATCCTCCTAGTACTTCAAAACAAGACTACAAAGCTCAACTGTTAGAATACTAGCCGAGCAAAAAAGCCAAACAAGCACAAGGCCCTGAGTTCAAACCTTGATACAAAAAAAGCAACAACAGCAACAAAATCCTACTTCTGGTGGCTCAACACCTGTAATCTTAGCTACTCAAGAATCAGATCTGAGGGAAGGAGTTTGTATCCAGTCCCCGCAGGAAAATCCCTGAGACTCTTTTTAGACATTTTTTTTTGGGGGTCCGGTCATGGGCCTGACCTCTGGGCCTGGGCGCTGTCCCTCAACTCTTCAGCTCAAGGCTAGCGCACTACCACTTGAGCCACAGTGCCACTTCTGGCTTTTTTTTCCCTGCTTATGTGGTGCTGAGGAATCAAACCCAGGGCCTCATGCATGCAAGGCAAGTGCTCTACCACTGAGCCGTCTTCCCAGCCCCTCCCTGAGACTCTTATTTCCAGCAAACTACTCAGAAGCCAGAAGTGGTGTGTGCAGTTCAGGGACAGTGCTCAGACCCAGAAGTCAAGCTCCATGACAGGCAGAAAAGAAAAGAGAAAAGAAAACCTACTCCTATATTCCCAGTACTTGGGAGGTAGAGCTAGAAGGATTACATGTTGAGGGCAGCCTGGGCTATTTATTAGTACTCTGGCCCAAAGAAAGCCAGGAAAGAAATGAAACAACAAAAACTACTTAGGTTTTGTAATATGTTAAGGGAAATAGGTCTTTAACTTATCATATTTAGAAAAAAAAAAAAGCTTAATGGGGCTGGGAATGTAGCTTAGCAGGTAGAGCGCTTGCCTGGCATGCATAAAGCCCTGGGTTCATTCCTCAGTACCACATAAACAGAAAAGGCCAGAAGTGGTACTACAATTCAAGTGGTAGAGTGCTAGCCTTGAGCACAGAGAAGCTAAGAGACATGCCCAGGCCCTGAGTTCAAGCCCCAGGATTGGCAAAAAAAAAAAAAAAAAAAAGTTAACATACTATGAACATGTGATGTATAATGCAAGCCTTTTTCTTCTTTTTCTTCCCATAGGATGCAACTTTCAAATGCACTTAAAAAAAACCTGGAGAAAGAGGACACCAAGGATAGGTACAATCTCAGCACCCTGGATTTGGAAAGAAGAGGGAAACCTCTGACTGACTTTAGGGTTTTTGTTTCATTTCGTTTTGTTTTTTGTTTTGTATAGGTTTGCTTTCTACATTGTCAGTATTTGTTGGATAACAATCCACAGAGGCAATGTCAGTTTTGGCTCCAATTCACCATGCACTACTGAATTCTAATAGCTAATGGCTCATGCCATGAGCAACACAGTTTTTTTTTTTTTTCCTTTTGTAGGAATGAGCTTGTTCTAAATAAGAAATATAAAAGAGCCGGGCACTGGTGACTCAGCCTGTAATCCTAGCTACTCAGGAGGCTGAGATCTGAGGATCATGGTTCAAAGCCAGACTGGGCAAGAAAGTCCATGAAACTTATCTCCAATAAACCACCAGAAAACCGGAAGTGGCATTGTAGCTCAAATGGTAGAGCACTCGCCTTGAGCTGAAGAGCTGAGGGACAGCGCCCAGGCCCAGAATTCAAACCCCACGACTGACAAAAAAAAAAAAAAAGAAAAGAAAATTATAAAAGAAAGATAAAAACTCTGGGAGTCAATATCTTCTATAACTCACTTGTAAGAATCTAGCCTCAGTCCTTACCTGCAATCAGACATGCCAAAGCTCTAAAAATCTTGTGATAAAATAAACTCATTGGTACCAAAGACCTTGGTTCTACCACTTCTTCTATCTGGGGGGTCTTAGCCCTGTCTGATGTGTATCCTCCCAGTGATACAACTGTCAGCTCACAAATCCTAAGGTTCAGCTTATGAATCTCAGTTCGGGCTCTCTGGACTAGTTTCCCCACAGAGGGAAATAAGACCTTCTTGAGCTGAAGGAGTGGGGTGCAGGACTCATTTCGTCATGTAGATACCCAGACAACAAAGGTCAAATAATACAGGCATTGTCTTGCCCATATTTAAAGTTTACAACTGTGACAACTTTTTTTTTGGTCATGGGGCTTGAACTCAGGACCTGGGAGCTTCCCTGAACTATTTTGCTCAAGGCTAGCACGCTACCACTTTGAGCTACAGAGCCACTTCTGATTTTCTGGTGGTTAATTAGAGAAAAAGAGTCTCACAGACTTTTCTGGCTGGCTTTATACCACAATCCTTAGATCTTAGCCTCCTGAGTAGCTAGGATTCCATGTTTGAGCCACCAGTGGGACATCAATAGCTTGGATGTCTCCAGCCTCTGGAATTCTAGCACCTTAGATGTATAAACATACCAAAGCCTCATATGAGCTAAAATATCTCTTAGCCAGTCAGAAACCCCCAACCTTTAGGGATTTTCCGTATAATCTGATACAGCCTAACTCATGAATTTATCTACTCAAGTATAAACAAATTCGAAACATGTATGTGTACATGCATGTAGGCCAGAAATGGGACTTAAGCTCAGGATTTTATGCTCTCATCTTTTTCACTCGTGGTTGGTGCTCTACTGCCTGAGACACATCTACAGTTCTGGCCTTTTGCTGATTCATTGGAGAGTCTGTAAGACTTTTCTAAGCCCAGGCTGATTTTGATAAGCAATTCTCAAATCTCAGCCTCCTGAGGATTACAGACATAATTCACCAGCTCCCTGTCTATATATATTTTTTATTTTTATTTTGTGCCAGTCCTGGGGCTTTTGAACTTAGGACTTGGGTACTGTCCCTAAGCTTTTGAGCTAAAGGCACCAGCACTCTACCACTTTGAACCACAATTCTAGATTATTGGTGGTTAATTGGAGGTAAGAGTATCACAGAATTTCCTGCCCAGGCTAGCTTTAAAGCTCAATCCTCAGATTCTAGCCTTCTGAGTAGCTAAGATTATAGGTATGAGCAACTAGTGCCTGACAGATTTATTTATTCATTCATTTATTTATTTATTTTGTCTTGTCAGTCGTGGGGCCTGAACTCTGGGCTTGGGCGCTGTCCCTCAGCTCTCCAGCTGTAGACTAGTGCTCTACCACTGGAGCCTCAGCCCCACTTGCGGCTTTTTCTGCTTATGTGGTGCTGAGGAATCGAACCCAGGGCCTCATGCATGCAAGGCAAGCACTCTACCACTGAGCCACCTTCCCAGCCCAGATTTTTTTTTTTTAACTGAGGTTTTGTTTCCTTTTTAGTGTGTTCACAGATGACATGAAGCACATATTAAAGCTAAGCAAATTAATAATGAAATCACAACAGGTAAGCTTGCATATTGGCTACTTATGCATTCTTATGATTGCCAAAACTCATAACTGTATTGCATTTGATTAAATAAGATTGCCTCCAGGGATTGGTGTGACTGGAAATCACTCTTCTTGAGTTCTTTTTTTTTTTTTGGGGGGGGGAATCAGTCATGGGACTTGAACTCTGGACTTGGGCAATGTCCCTCAGCTCTTCAGCTCCAGGCAAGCACTCTACTGCTTGAACCACAATGCCACTTGGGTTTTCTGAGTGGTTTATTGGAGATATGAGTCTCACAGAGTTTCCTTCCCAGGCTGGCTTTGGCTTTGAACTGCCATCCTCAGATCTCAGCCTCCTGAGTAGCTAGGATTACAGGCATGAGCCACCGGTGCCCGGCTCCATAACTCTTATTTTTAATGTTTCAGATTATCTGCCTGTCATTTAAGTTATTGTCATATCCATTTTGTTTTGTGAAAATAACGGAAAGGAAATTGGGAGGTTTAGAAAACTAAACCATGGAATTCAGTGATTTAAGTATTGTAGATGTGTTAAGTAACATACTTTAACCTTTTTCTTTTAAAAACAGGAATCTTGGGAATTAGAGGCAAAACTGATTGGAATTAGAAAGAAGAGATTACGTATGTAAATATACATTTCTTCCTTATAAACCTTTTGCTTTATTAGCATATACTGATAGTACAAGAAAGTCCTTGGGCTGGGAATGTGGCTTAGTGGTAGAGTGCTTGCCTATCATGCATGAAGACCTAGGTTCAATTCCTCAGTACCACATAAACAAAAAAAGGTGGAAGTGGAGCTAAGGCTTAAGTTAAGGCTAGCTGAAGCTAGCCTTGAGCAAAAGAAGCTCAGGGATATCCCCAGACCCTGAGTTCAAGTCCCCCTACTGACAAGGGAAAAAAAAGTCCTTATTCTTTTGGTAGAACACATTTTCATCCAGATTGATAGCACCAGCTCCCTCAGCCATTAAGAAATTTTAATTTTCAAAATTTCAAACTTGTAAATTTAAAAAGGATAAAATACATTTTGCTTTCATTTTTGTTATTCAGAACTTTTGTATATGTGTGTGACAGTCCTTAGGCTTTTGTACTCAAGGCTAGCACTCTACCACTTGAGCCAAAACTTCACTTTTGGCTTTTTTGTTTGTGTGATTAATTGGAGATAAGAGTCTCACAGACTTTCCTTCCTGAGTTGGCTTTGAACCATGATCCTGGGATTTCAGCCTCCTGAGTAGCTAGGATTGATTATAGGCATAAGCTACCCATGCTCAGATGTTGTTTAGAACTTTGAAGTCACAAATTAATTCCAAGTTTGGGGAAGTAATTTAATGGTACAGAAAACTGTATTGCACAAACAATGTTTCCTTTTCTTCACCTCATATATATATGTATATATATGTACACATATATTTATGATTACATTTGTATGTATATAATCTTGTTTGTTTATCTGCAGGTACTGGGGCTTGAACTCAAGGCCTGGGTGCTCTCCCTTAGTTTTTTTTTTCCCCAATGCTTGTGCTCTACCACTTGAGCTTCCACTTTTATCTTTTGCTGGTTAACTGAAAATAAGAGTCACAGAGTCTTACTTTTCTGCCAGGGCTGGTTTCCAAACGAGATCCTCAGATCTCAGCCTCCTGAATAACTATTATAAAAATGTTCACCAAGAAACACCAGAGTCACAACTGAAGATACAAAAACAAAGAATAGTCTCAGTAAGGCAAATTTACTTCTGCACAGGAATTACTTCTTCACAGAAGGTGCATCATTAGCCAAAATCCTGGCAAGCAAGCACAGAGAGCAGGTGGGCTACTCCTTATTTATCCCAATGTAGCCTCTGCCCCTACCCCTGTGCTCTTATTGGCTGAGCTCGGTTTACAATCTGCTCACAACTGGCTCTGGATTAAAGAGGGTAAATTTTTTTTTTCAGAATATGGTTTAATTAACAGAAATAATAGTATGTGTGTGTTTCCATAGTATCTGCAATTACAGTTGAGCAGTAGGCACCTAGCTCTATATATGTAATTTCTAAATTACCAGTTGGTAGCTGCTTATTCAGTTTCTTCATCATTACATGAGATGAGACAACTTTTTATTTGTTTTTTGGTCAGTTTTGGGGTTTGAACTCCGGGCCTGGGGGCCGTCCCTCAGCTCTTTAGCTCAAAGCAAGCGCTCTACCACTTGAGTCACAGCACCACTAACAGCTTTTTCTGTTTATGCAGTGCTGAGGAATTGAACCCAGGGCCTCATGCGAGGCAAGCACTCTACCATAGAGCCACCTTCCCAGCCCTGAGGTGACTTTTTGACTGAAACTATCAATGTTATTTTCAAAAGTAATACAGGGGGGCTGGGCAGGTGGCTCAGTGGTAGAGCACTTGCCTTGCATGCCTGAGGCCCTGGGTTCGATTCCTAGCACCACATAAGCAAAAAGAAAAAAGCCGGAAGTGGCGCTGTGGCTCAAGTGGTAGAGTGTTAGCCTTGAGCTGAAGAGCTGAGGGACAGCGCCCAGGCCCAGATTTCAGGCCGCACGACCGGACCCCAAAAACCAAAAACAAAAGTAATACAGGGACTGGGAAGGTGGCTCAGTGGTACAGCGCTTGCCTTGCATGCATGAGGCCCTGGGTTCGATTCCTCAGAACCACATAAGCAGAAAAAAAAAAGCCGGAAATGGCACTGTGGCTCAAGTGGTAGAGTGCTATCCTTGAGCTGAAGAGCTGAGGGACAGCGCCCATGCCCAGAGTTCAGGCCCCACCACTGGACCCAAAAAAAAAAAAAAAGCCATCAAAAGTAATACACATTCTCTGTAGAAATTTTAGAAACAGAAAACTATACGTAAGAAAATGTAATTTTTAATTTTTTTTTGTTTTTTTTTTTGTCGGTCATGGGGCTTGAACTCTGGGCTTAGGCACTGTCCCTGCACTCTTCAGCTCAAGGACAGCGCTCTACCACTTGAGCCACAGGGCCACTTCCAGTTTTCTAGTGGTTTATTGGAGATGAGTCTCATGGAGTTTCCTGCCAGGGCTGGCTTTGAACCATGATCCTCAGATCTCAGCCTCCTGAGTAGCTAGGATTACAGGCCTGAGCCACTGGTGCCCGGCTAATTTTTAATTTTATCAAGAAGTAATGTGCTGGATGCCAGTGGCTCACACCTGTAATCCTAGTTACTTAGGAGGCTGAGCCCTGAGGATCATGATTCAAAGGCAGCCCCAGAAGGAAACTCCCTGAGACTCTTGTCTCCAATAAACTACTCAAAAAAGCCAGGAGTGGCACTGTTGCTCAAGTCTTAGAGTGCTCACCTTGACCAGGAGAAGCTCAGGGACAGTACCCAGGCCCAGAGTTCAAGCCCCAGGATCAGCAAAAAAACAAAAAAGGTAACCAAACCAATCATTAGTGTGTAGTTCTTTTTTACTTTTTTATTATTATTATTAAGTAGTTGTACAAAGGTATTATAGTTCTCTAAGTCAGGTTACTAATATAATGCTTCTTGGTTAGTTTTACTTCTTCATTTTCCCTCTTCTATCCTTACTCTCAGGTTACATGGTTCATTTTTTTTTTTGCCCATAGTAGGACTTGAACTCAGGGCCTTGTACTCTTGCTGAGCTTTTTCACTCTCAACTGGTACTGTACCACTTGAGCCATGCTTCCAGCATTTTTGTTGATTAATTAGAGAGGAACCCCTAAGGACTTTTCTGCAAAGATTGGCTTCAAACCTCCATCCTCAGATCTCACCTTCCTGTGTATCTAGGATTACAGGTTTAAGCCACTGTTGCCTAATGTGTAATTCTTTTTTTGGGGGGGGGGTATTCGTGGGGCCTGAACTCTGGGCCTGGGCGCTGTCCCTCAGCTCTTCAGCTCAAGACTAGCGCTCTACCACTTGAGCCACAGTGCCACTTCCGGCTTTTTTTTTCTTCTGCTTATATGGTTCTGAGGAATCGAACCCAGGGCCTCAGGCATGCAAGGCAAGCACTCTACCACTGAGCCACCTTCCCAGCCCTCTATAATTCTTGTTAAAATCAACATTTTTATTTTATTTTATTTTTATTTTTGCCATTCCTGGGGCTTGAACCCAGGGCCTGGGCACTATTCCTAAGCTTTATTTGCTCAAGGCTAGCACTTTACCATTTGAGCTACAGTGCCACTTCTGGCTTTTTTCTGTGTATGAGGTACTGAGGAATGGAACCCAGGGCTTCATGCATGCTAGGCAAGAACTCTACCACTAAGCTACCTTCCCAGCCCTCTTTTTTTTTTTTTTAATTGGGATTGAACCCAGGATGTTACACTTGCTAAACAAGCACTTTGCCACTGAGCTACATCCCAACCCCAGCATAATTTTTTTTTGGGGGGGTCTGGTTGTGGGGCCTGAACTCTGGGCCTGGGCACTGTCCCTCAGCTCTTCAGCTCAAGGCTAGCGCTCTACCACTTGAGCCACAGTGCCACTTGTGGCTTTTTTCTTTTTGCTTATGTGGTGCTGAGGAATCGAACCCAGTGCCTCAGGTTTGCAAGGCAAGCGCTCTACCACTGAGCCACCTTCCCAGCCCCCAGCATAATTTTCTTTAAAAAAAAATTTAAATCATGCATAATTTTTTTTTCCTATGCCAACAGTCTTTTTTTTGGTTTATTTTTGTTCCTTTGTTTCCCCTTTTGGGTAAGGGATACTGGAGTTTGTTGTTTTAGCAATGCTGGGGTTTGAAGGTTGCCTTGTGCTTGCTAGCTGTAACATTTGATCTATACCTTAGTGCTTGTTGTTTTTGTTGCTGCTGCTGCTGTTACTTGTTTTCCTTGTCTTTGAGCTAGAGTTTCCATAACTTTGTCCAGCCTGACCTCTAACTTCATTTATCTCTCCCTTTGTACTAGCTGGGACTTTAGGCATGTACCACCACACTTTGCCTTAATTTGTGTTTTTTTTTTTTTTTTTTTGTCAGTCGTGGGGCTTGAACTCTGGGCCTGGGCGCTGTCCCTGCACTCTTAAGCTCAAGGCAAGCGCTCTACCACTTGAGCTACAGCTCCACTTCTGGTTTTCTAGTGCTTTATTGGAGATAAGAGTCTCACAGACTTTCCTGCCTGGGCTGGCTTTGAACCGCTATCCTCAGATCTCAGCCTCCTGAGTAGTTAGGATTACAGGCATGAGCCACTGGCGCCCGGCTTTTTTTTTGGGTGGGTCAGTCATGGGGGCTGAATTCTGAACCTGGGCACTGTCCCTCAACTCTTCAGCTCAAGACTAGCACCCTACCACTTGAGCCACAGCCCCACTTCCAGCTTTTTTCTGCTTATGTGGTGCTCAGGGAATCTAACCCAGGGTCTCATGCATGCAAGACAAGTACTCTACCACTGAACCAACTTCCTAGCCCTTAATTTGTTATTTTTAAACATTGTATAAATAGTTTTAGTTAGTTTTGTTGCAATTGCTTTTTGGGTTTTTTTTTGTTGTTGTTGTTGTCATCCATCTATTCATTAAGCTATTAGCTTATATTAGTTACACAGATTACTGGTTTGGGTTTTTTTGTTTGTTTTTGTCAGTCATGGGGCCTGAACTCTGGGCCTGTGTGCTGTCTCTCAGCTCTTCAGCTCAAGGCTAACACTCTACCACTTGAGCCATAGTGCCACTTCCAGCTTCTTATGTTTATGTGTTGCTGAGGAATCAAACCCAGGGCCTCATGCATGCAAGGCAAGCAATCTACCACTGAGCCGTCTTTCCAGCCCCTAGTGTTAGTTTTTGAGACAATCTTTTTTTTTTTTTTTTTTTTTGGTGCTGATGTTGGGGCCTTGGCGCTGTCCCTGAGCATTTTTACTCAAGACAAGTGCTCTATTTAGTAGTTAATTGGAAATAAGAGTCTTTCTTGCCTAGGCTGACTTTGAACTGCCAATCCTCAGCCTCCTGAATAGCTTGGATTATAGGCATGAGCCACTGTTGCCCAGCTAAGACAAAGAGTCTTTATATGTAGCCCAGGCTGGTCTCCAGCTGAAGATACTCCTGCTCCACTCTCTTAAGTGCTAGGATTACAGGTGTACACCAAGCCTTGGCTATCTATTCTGATTGTTCTTTTGAGGTTACATTATTTTCTACTGAATTCCATCCTATTAATATGTTAATATCAGAAACAAGCCCTTGTGACATGCCCATCTGTACATTCAAAGTTGTGGTTTAATTCCCAAAACATTTTTGGAAATAGGAAAAATGATTACTGATATTTAATCCACAGTTCCACTTCCAGGGTTTTGATGGTTAGTTGGAAATAAGAATCTCACTGGGCTGGGAATGTGGCTAAGCAGTAGAGTACTTACCTAGCATGCATGAAGTCCTGGATTTGACTCCTCAGTACCACATAAACAAAAAAAGCCCAAAATGGCACAGTGGCTCAAGTGGTAGAGCACTAGCCTTGAGCACAGAGAGGCTCAAGGACAGTGCCTAGGCCCTAAGGACAAGCTCCAGGACCAGGAAAAAAAATATCTCACTGATGCCAGGTGACAGTGGCTTAAGCTTATAATCCTAGCTTCTCAGGAGGCTGAAATCTGAAGATCATGGTTCAAAGCCAGACTGGGCAAGAAAGTCCATGAGACTCTTATCTCCAAATAACCACCAGAAAACTGGAAGTGGCACTGTAGCTCAAAATGGTAGAGCAGTGGCTTAGTGGTAGAGTGCTTGCCTAGTATGCATAAAGCCCTCAAACCCCTCAATATAACATAAGCAGAAAAGGCCAGAAGTAGCACTATAGCTCACATGGTAGATGCTAGCCTTGAGCAAAAGAAGCTTAGGGACAGTGACCAAGCCCTGAGTTCAAGGCCCAGGACTGGCAATAAATAAATAAAAATATGATAGAGCACTAGCCTTGAGCGAAAAAGCTCAGGGACAGTGTCAAGTCACTGAGTTCAAGCCCCACAACCAACAAAAAAAAAAAAAAAAGTATGAGACTTCTGGTTTTCTAGAGGTTTATTGGAGGTAAGAGTCTCACGGACTTTCCTGCCCAGGCTGGCTTTGAACCGTGATCCTCAGATCTGAGCCTCCTGAGTAGCTAGGATTATAGGCATGAGCCACCGGCACCTGGCTTGAGACTCTTATTTTCAGTTAACCACCAAAAATCTGAAAGTAGAACTGTGACTCAAGTGATATGCTTGAGCCTTGAGCACAAAAGCTCTGGAAGAGTGCCCAGGCCCTAAGTTCAAGCCCTAGAACCAGCAAAAGGGAGGGGAAAAAAATGTCACAGATTTTCCTGCTCAGACTAGTTTGGAATCCTGATTCTCAGATCTCAGCCTCCTAAGTAGCTCAGGTTATTGGTGTGAGCCACTGGTGCCCAGCTTAAAATTTTTGCTAAGATAGCAAAGAAATACTCTGTTTTGTTTTTCATGGTGCTTGTTTATAGAGATTTCCTATATAATGTTTTATTTTTACCCTAACAGAACTGAAACAAGCTTCAGAAAAGAAGCTTTTAGAAATACAGACTGAACATGACAAACAGCAAAAGGATCTGGACAGTATGGAGAAGTTGGAGAAGATAATGACTATGCAACAAACTTTAACCAAAGAGATAGAGATTACCACTGTTATTCAAAATGTATTTCAGGTAATATATAACTTTAGAAGGGAGGTAAAGAATTTAAAAAACAAGGGCTAGAGGTGTGTGGTGCGGAGGTGTGTGGTTCAAGTAGTAGAGCCTGGCAACCATAATACCTTGACTTGAAACCCCGAAGTGTAACTACCCTGTACATCACTTTTATAATAACAATAAAAATTTAAAAAAATAATAGTGATTTAGTACCAGCACTAGGCTGGCTTTGCGTTTGTGCTTGGCTTTTATTTATTTTTTATTGTAAAGGGGATATACAGAGGGGTTACAGTTATGTAAGTCAGGTAAAGAGTACATTTCTTTTTAGACAGTGTCACCCCTTCCCTTGCTCTCCCAGTTTTTCCCTCCTATACTCACCCACAAGTTGTATAGCTCATTTTCAACATAGTGTCTAGTAAATACCATTGCTGCATTTTTTTTTGGGGGGGTCCGGTTGTGGGGCCTGAACTCTGGGCCTGGGCGCTGTCCCTCAGCTCTTCAGCTCAAGGCTAGCGCTCTACCACTTGAGCCACAGCACCACTTCCGGCTTTTTTTTTTCTTTTTGCTTATGTGGTGCTGAGGAATTGAACCCAGGGCCTCATGCATGCAAGGCAAGCACTCTACCACTGAGCCACCTTCCCAGCCCTGCTGCATTTTTTTATCCTTTCTACCTCCACTTCTGTGCCACTTTGCTCTCTTACCCTGTGAGAACAGAAAGAAGCCAGCCTTAGCAGAAAAGTCCACGCAATTCTTATCACTAATTAACCAACAAAAAGAAGTAGAGCTGTGGTTCACGTAGTAGAACACAAAAGCTCGGGACAATGCCCAGGCCTTGAATTCAAGACCCAAGACTGGGGCCAAAAAAAATTTTTTTCCAGAGATTACATTTTTTCTTTTTTTTTCTTTTTTTTTTATTGTGAACATACTGTACAGAGGGGTTACAATTACATGGGCAAGATAATGAGTACATTTCTTATCAAGCACAGCCTCCTCCTTTGTTTACCCTTCACATCCCTTCCCAGGATTACATTTTTTTCATACATGCAAATGAACTACTTCAGCCATATTCATTCACACTTGGCAGACTTTGGGAGTTTTTGTTTTATGTCATTTTTTTGTGGGTGTGTCTGTGTATGTGTCTGTGTGTCTGTGTTGTGTGTATATTCATACATGCATATTCTGCTACTGGAGCTTGAACTCCAGTGCCTCAAGCTCTGACTTGGCTTTTTGCCCAAAGCTGCCAATCTGCCACTTGAGCTACACTTCCACTTCTGGATTTTTTATGCTTAATTGGAGATAAGACTTTTCTTCCCTGGCTGGATTCAAAAACCTCAATCCTCAGGTCTCATCATAGCTTCCTGAGTAGCTAGGATTACAGGCATGAGCCCTAGCACTTAGCTAGAAAATTAACTGTTGGCCATCTAGTTTACAAGGGAAATAGTGATTGAAAATCATTATGTAGTATTTCCCAAGATTTTGGATTATAGTTCCTTTTTTGGATTATAGTTCCTTTCCCATGAGCATCAACTAATACTAGAAAATATTTCTTTGGACTGAGGATGTGGCTCAGTGCTAAAGCACTTGGCTAGCATGCATAAGGTCCTGGGCTCAATCCCCCAGCATTGTGGGGGGTGAAGGTAGGTGTGTGAAATGTGTATGTGTTCTGTTACAGAGCTACCTACTAGTAAATACTAGTTCAATATATATTAGAAAAGATTAGTGAAATAATTATTTTAAATTGTTGATATTTTTTAAAATATGACAAAATTTTTGTCTTAATTACAGAGCCTCATTGTGGGGAGTAAAGCCAACTGGGCCAAGGACTCTAACCTCAGGAAACTCATTCTGCAGTTTGAGAAGAATCTTACCATGATGTAATAAGAATTCTATTTTTGGTATTTTTTGTCTTTGTATATCATTTAGCAAATTTCAAGTGAAATGTATGTTGTATTTTTAGCATATTATAATACTTAGTGTAATAGAGTGTAATCTGTTGTTTTAGTATAGCAATAAAAGTGACTGGCATTAATCTATCTGGTTTCAGATTCTACCCCATCCCTACTTATTGAGTACAGATAATCATTGGCACAAGTTAGTATGCTGTTAAACTTTCACTAATAGTAACTTGAGAGAACATTGTAGTGGAGAATGATATCCAGCCAATGTGACTGAGGAATGTGAAAAAGAAAGCGTGGATGTCACAGCAGTGGAATTGGCTCACCTGTGACTAAGTGGCTGGCACTGATACCAATGGAAGGAAAATTAAAAAGCTGAGGTTATGTTTTGTTTTGTTTTGTTGTCAGTCATGGGGCCTGAACTCTAGGCCTGGGCGCTGTCCCTGAGCTCTTCAGCTCAAGGCTAGTGCTCTACCACTTGAGCCATAGCACCACTTCTGGCTTTTTCTGCTTATGTGGTGCTGAGGAATCGAACCCAGGGCCTCATGCGTGCAAGGCAAACGCTCTACCACGGATCCACCTTCCCAGCCCCAAAGCTGAGGTTATGGAAGAATAATGGAAAACTAAGAAGGAAGGTCAGAGGGCCTCTATCAAGAGTTTACTGAAAGGCCTTATGTCCTGCAGCGGCAGAGTAGAAAACACTGAGGACTGCACTCAGGATTGAGTACACTTGGCAGGGCCCAAGAAAGTTGCAGAATCAGGGCTGGGAAGGTGGCTCAGTGGTAGAGTGCTTGCCTTGCATGCATGAGGCCCTGGGTTCGATTCCTCAGCACTACATAAGCAGAAAAAGCCAGAAGTGGTGCTGTGGCTCAAGAGGTTGAGCACTAGCTTTGAGCTGAAGAGCTCATGGACAGACAGCGCCCAGGCCCAGAGTTCAGGCTCCA